ATGTGTGCGACGTCCCAGGCTGTGGCGTATTTGTCTGTGTGATCGTTGCGAAAGTAGCGGGGCTCTTCTTGGAGCTGATGGGCACCCAGGCGGTCTTAGGGCGCGTTCGAGGCCCAATTGCTTCTTCGCGGCATGTTTCTCAAGTCTTGCATCCTCGTCTCGTGCGGCCAATGTCGTGGCCTTTCCGTGGGGCTAGACGGTGACCAATGCAGACGGCTCGCCTCTGGCGTTAGGCGACTTTCGGGGCAGAGGCACATCCGTGCTCTTGGTCTGGGGCCGACCCGCAGCATTGCCCGTGGTAGTGTCTCAGGCTGTTCTACCCTGTATGTTGGCCAACTCTACCGCCCTAGTGGGCGCACGTTGAAGCTAGAAGTTTCGGCTCACCAGATCCTGCGCGCTGCCCCTCGCAATGCGTTTTCGTCTGACCTCCGGGTTTCCCTGGCCCAGGTCGGATTCTCTGTCGAGGCGCGTAGGCTTGGGAGGGGGGCTCGCGCTGCCCAGTGCCGACGTGCTGTGCCCTCCCGTGTACTCTCTGAGGCTAATGACCTTACTGCCGACATGGCCGATGATTGGGTATGTATTGTTGCGTGTCGGAATGACGCCTGGTTCAATGCATCCATCCATCTTCCACCACATGAACTCACACCTACTGCGCACACTGCGTTAGCGTGTATTCCCTATGTCCCTGCTTCCCATGAGAGGGGGCTTCGGAGTGCCACAACCAAGGCTCTGAAGGATGTCGAAGGCATCTAGGCCCCTGTGACCATAGAAATGCGCATCCGTGTGTATGTATGTATGTATGTATGTATGTATGTATGTATGTATGTATGTATGTATGTATGTATGTATGTATGTATGTATGTATGTATGGTTGTATGTATGTATGTATGTATGTATGTATGTATGTATGTATGTGTGTGTGTATGTATGTATGTATGTATGTATGTATGTATGTATGTATGTATGTATGTATGTATGCATGCATGCATGCATGCATGTATGTATGTATGTATGTATGTATGTATGTATGTATGTATGTATGTGTGTGTATGTATGTATGTATGTATGCATGTATGTGTACATATAGATATCGTCCTCGGACAATGTGCTGATGTGTTGTGTTTCCTCCTTGGCTTCTATCGCCAATCACGTCCCTCTGTGCGTGCTTGCTTCGATTCTGCGCGCCTTGGTCAACACATGGTGCTGCTTTGGGCGATTCTCCGACACTCTCCAACCCTGTATCTTTCTGTGGGTCTTCCAAGCAGAACGAGCTAGAACACATTATGACATTCCGCATTTTTTGCGAGTACGTCTTTCTTTTGCTCCCCCGTCTTCCACCCTCTTTCGTTTCATATCTTGGGTTTGCTCGTCGCTGCTTTGCCCCCTTCCTCCCGCTCCCGCTCCCTCAGCTTGTGTCTTGTGCTTTGCTCTGCGATCCCTCGTGCACGTCTTACCATATATGTACTGCCAAAGAGGCGGCCTCCGAAGGGACAGACTCCAATCAAGTGCTCGGGCCCGATTGTCGCAGTTCCTGCGTCGAATGCCCTCGCTGGCCGATTGTATTTGATAATGGGCTCAGGCTTCCAGGTGCAGGAACGCTTTCGCTAAGCATGCGCCTGGTTCTACGTTGTCAAGGAGGCGCCTGGTCGGGCAACGCAAATAGATGCCACGTCCCAGTTTGCAAGTAGGCGCGGATTGTAGACAGTGAAGGAGCGACATGCTCCTTTGTCAGGTGGGCGGCTGACTCTGAGTTGTCAAGTGGGCACCCAGTCTGGCAAAGCAAGTGGGTGCCGCGTCTCGATTTCCAATTAGGTGCCTCCAGGACCGCCTCTGCCTTCTTCTGCTCCTCTTCGCTGTCTCGGGCGCCGTGTGGGAAAGCCTCCCTGAGAGGCGTGGATTTATCTTGCCCCTGGACGTGCCTCTTCTCGTTCGTTCGTGCTCCTGTCCGCCTTCCTCTTGGCAATGGCGCTCCTCCTCCTACTCTTCCTCCTCCTCCTCCTCTACCTCCTGCTCCTCCTCGACCCTCCCTCTCCGCCTCCTCCTCTTCCTCCTCCTTCTCTTCCGCCTCATCCCCCTCGGTGGTATATCGAACATAGCTACGCTGCGCTTCGCTGCTCCAGATCGGCCCAAAGGCCGTGCTTATATTGAACTCGGGGGGAAAACTTGACCCGTGCCTCTGGCATCCGGGCAAACGTGCGAACGTCTTACGTGGATTGCTTCTCGGCCGGGCAGTGGCGGGGAGCGAAAGAGGGCGGGGGAAAGGCGGCAGAAGGGAAGAAAACCGTCAGATCTCGTTCGCGGGGGCCTTCACGAAGAACCCCGTGCTGACTTGCACAGATTCAATCGGTTCACCTCTGAAGCGGTCGGCCTCGATGGCGAGCTCGACTAGGTCGCCAAGCATGCGACGGATGTCCGTGTTCGATTTGTCGGACTAGCAAATCTCTCTGGCGGTTGCGCCTGTTGCTCCATTGTGTGACTGGATGTTGTGCTAGAGCCGCCTCCAGCCGGCGCTTCATGGACGGCCAGTAAGCTGCCATGCTTTTTACTCCAGACGTACCCACCCAACTATACGCCTCAACATTTTCCTCTGTAGCGCGTCCAGCTTGTCCAGGTCTTTCTGGGTGAGTGGCGTTGTGGTCAGACTGTAGAGGACAGACGTCGTCACCTCGGAGTCGAACAGACGCAGGCGCAATTTGATCGGAATGTTGCGGTTCCGCATGGTGTCTGCAAATGATGGTACTTCAGCCAAGTGCACTTCATGCGGTGCTCACTCACAGAGCACCCTCAAATGGCCGCGCTCAGCAGCCAGCCAAGGTATTTGTGCGTGCCCGCGTGCTTTACAACGTGCACCATCCCGCTGCCGGCATCAAGGAAGAGCGGGACCTCGTCAGCTGCAACGTTGGCTTCTGTTGTCAGAATCTTCGTCTTCCGAGCGCTCCGAGCGTTGACTGACAAACCGGCTTTGTTCAGCTCCTCCACGAGGCAATCGAGCATAAACACTGCATCATCAAGCGGCCGAGCAAATAAGAGCAAACAGTTTGCACACCGAATGTTCGTCAAACGCCCGTTCTGCGGCTTCAGCAAGAGACCGCAATTGCCAAACCAAGCCTGCCACCGGCTAGTTGCCGCCGCTGCGCAGCGTTGAAGAGCATTGGACTAATCACATCACCCTGTCTAACACCGCGTCCACTGTCGAACTGACAGCTATCAACAATACCGCGCTGAGCGGTGCACAAGCATTGAAACAGGGTGCGGTACTCGACAGGAACTCTTTTCTCTGACGTGGCAGCGAATAGCGCGTGATGTTTACTTCGGTCGAAGGCCTTGGTCAAGTCGATGCTCACGATACATACCGGCAAATCAAGTTCAATTGGTTTCTGAATAACGTTCCCTAGTGTCAAGAGCGCGTGCTCTGTCCCAGTGGCGGATCGAAAGCCCAGCTGCTCTGGCGGCTGGCGGGGCCGCAGAAAACTTTTGAGGCGGTCGTGCAATATTCAGACGAGCATCTTGTATGAGATGTCCAAAATAGTCAATGGCCTCCAGTTGTTGGGGTCCAGAGCGTTGCCAGCCTTGGGACTCATCACATGCAACAACTCCCTCCAGTCGCTAGGAAAGACGCCCGTGTGCACGACGCCGTTTAGACACGCAACCAAGACTGATTGGGCAAGCGGGCCCGAACCGCGAAACATTTCCAACGACGCACCACGTTTGTCAGCACATCGTTTGCAGGCCATCGCCTTGAGAGCTGTCTGCAGTTATCCCGGCGTTATATCTGGTATACGTTGGAGCTGCGATGTGTCTTGGGGGGGTGGCACGTAGGCCTCCGACGAGTGGACGCCCTGCAACGTGGTCGCGAAGGCCTGCGGGTCAGGTCGCAGCGCTGCTTTGCCTTTCACAGGCCCCGCAAAGAGTGCTAGAATCTTCTTCAGATCTGAAAAAACTCAAGTTGCACGCGCATTTTCTTTGTGTGCCACTGCCGCAGAGCTTCTCTCGTGCCGCTGGCTATTAGTTTGGACAGCTGGCGTCTCTCGGACGAGTCCGAGCACTGCCGGCATTGGCGCCGTAGTTCTCGAGGATCGCGGTTGCGCCATGGCCTCCGGCATCTTTGGGGACGCTCCAGCGCCCCAGACAGGCATGCCGCATCAACCACAACCTTCTGTAGATCTTGAACTGACTGACCAGGAAAAACCTCCAGCATGGTCTCTATTGTGTCCTGATGCTGTGACGACCCTCGCCATCTCGCGCGTCTCGGTCGAGTGGGTCTCTCCGCGAGCGGCCCGAAAATATCAAGGCATGCCACAAAGCTCCGGTGATCTGACCCAATGTCGAGCTGGTTTGACGCCCTGGCCGCGCTGAAGCAGAAAGTGTTGTCGACGAGAATGTAATCCAATTACCGTCGCTTCCCCAGTGTGCTCTCAGAGGTGCATTTGTCGTTCCAAGGAATGTTATCATCGTCTGTAGCGATGTCTAGCTTGTGCTCTGAAGCGAACCCACAAAACAGGTCATTGCGCAGGCCTAGCCAGAGTCGCGTGTTGAAATCTGCGCCAATCATCAGAGTGCGCGGTTTCAACCGCCAGATGTTGCAGCTCCGCGTAGAGGTCGAGCAGACAAGCGTGGCCGTCACCAAGATGAGGAGCGTAAGCAGCGAAGATCTGAAAGTTGTGTCCCAAATCAGTACCAATGTCAACTGCAGTGGTTATTCCAGACTAGACGAAGTCTGTTGACTGTGCCGGCGAGATCTGCATGCGAAAGTACAGCTGCACCTTCATGGCGTGCTTCGCAATCCGGAAATTAGGCGTTGGCCCGCATGAAGCATCTCATCCGGTTATGTGGCTCTTGTCGCGCAGGCACAAACAATGCGCCCACTTCACCGCATCAAGTTCCGCAGGTGAATTAGCTGGCCTCGCGGGGGACCTGATCCTTGCATTTTTGCAGAAGATCCACAGAGGCTGCCGAACACGTTCAAGATTGGACGGGTCCGTGACCGATCGGGGCAGCTCCTACAAAGACCGCACGCCCTTGCCTTTGCCGAGGCCCTTGCTTGGAGCGGAGCTTCGCTGCAGCTTCTCCTTCGCCGCGTCGAGCAGGTCATCGACGGCCTTGTTCGCGCCGTCTGGCATGAGGTCTGTCTCCCACTCCGCGCCATACTCAATAGTGGGCGTCTTGTAATCCACGGCCACTTTGATCACGAGGTCGTTCCCGCAAGACAAACTCATGGTTGAAGCATATGCCCAGAGACTTCTCTCGTCGAATCCCCAGACGACCAGCGTCTTCTTGCCTCCGAATAGGACGCTCTGCAACGCCCTTGTCTCGAGGGGCTGCTCTGGCTTGGCCCGCATTTTCTGCCCGCCGTATTCTAGCGAGGCCTTGCGGGTGGCTTCCACCGCAGACCCCCGTTCGACTGCAGACGAGTATTTGCCGAAGGCGACCCCATTGAACGAAGAGAACTCGCCTTCGATGAACGTCTGAACTGGCGGAGTAGTCTTCGCATCTGCTAGAGCGCGCGGAATCCACTTGTCAAGTTCGTCCTGGTTCGCGGCGCCACGGAACCCCCCAAACACGGCTGTATGCCCAATATGGTTTGTAAGGTTACCGGAGTTCATGTTCTGGTTGGTCGCATTCTTAGAGCATGACAACCTCCATCTCCAGGGCCTTCATCTGGTCCCAGACCTCCGCCTTTGTCTGGGGGCCTGCACGTTAGCCCTCCGAGTTCTCCAGCTTCGTGAGGCGAATGTCCACATCCTCCAAACGTGCTTCGGATGTTGTCATCCGCGCCTCCATCGTCCCACCGAGCTCGGGCACCTGGCGCTCCAAGCCGGCAGCCGCGTTCCTCGGTGGCTGGACTTCTTGTTCCAAGAAGGCCGCAACCTCCTGGAGCGTACGTGAGTGCCTGCTGCTGCTGCTGCTGCTGCTGCTGCTGCTGCTCCCGCGGCCGTGCTGCCGCTCCACGTGCCGCATCCTGCGGAGTGCTCGGCGTCGCGGTCGAATGCCGCTCCGCGTGCCGATGGGGGAGCGAGATCGCGCGCCCCACCCATCGCGTGCAGAGGGCTCAGAAGGCGCTGGCGGGCGTCGCGTTGCAGGTCCTTACCTGCGGGGGTCCCCGGCTGGCGAGCGTGCTGCCTTCGCTCCGTAGCCGTTGCCATTGCACAGCAAGTTCCGATATAGACAGAATGGCAGGAACGAGTCAGGATGCGAGAGTGGGCGCAGGGTGGAGGAGGAGTTGGAGGTAGGATATCGGATGTGCTTGAGCCTTGAGCCTTGAGCCAGCTCGAGCCGCTCCCCTGGCAACGGTTTCCTGCTGAGGCCCTTTTGCGGACCCCTGATCCGATCCGATCCTCTTCGACCACCCTGCGGAGCAAACCGAGGGGGGGACCTCGCAGCTAATATCACAACGAAGGAAGTGGTGTCTGGGTCTCGGGCAGTCTTCTGTATTGTCCGCAGCAGCCGCATGATCACGTTCGTCAAAGCCCTGGATGGGGCCCCTTCGCCCTCAGTAGCGGGTGCCGCGCCAAAGCCAAAACGGAACCCCCTTCAGCACAACATGAACGGCTGCGCCCAGAAACAGACCGGGATTCCATGTTGTGTGGAACAGTCGGGTTTGGCCCAGAGGGGGTGATGACGATTGGGGGTGGGAATCATGGCCAGCGCCAAGAGTTCTCCCCGGATTTCGTGGCCCCCTCTTCTTCTTTCAGCACGTCCCCTGGTTCCCCCCTCGTCTTAACTCGGGTATGGCCCTCTACAGGAGTCAGATTCTAGAATCGTACAACAATAGTATGGGGACGATTCTTGCTTGTTTGCTTGTGTTGGGACTCTTCCCGTATGTTTCTTCCAGACTCCGTCCGTCGGAGGACATGCCCCACGGGTCCCCCGTCCGCGCACATGCCCCTGGCCATGAGCAGCGCGCTCCCTTCTCGACCGCCCCCGACCCAGACATCTGCGCTGTGCTCATCTCGTCGAGCAGCGACCCCCCCCCCCCGGGAGCCCCGGCCCCTTCCCCGGGCGCCGGCCTCTCGTCCCGAGCCGCTCTTCCACAGTGGGGGGCCCATGCCAAGAAACACCCTGCTCGCCTCCAGGGTGCCCTGGAGGGAGGGCCCACGAGTGGAGGAGGAGGAGGAGGAGGAGGAGGAGGAGGAGGAGGAGGAGGAGGAGGAGGAGAAAAGGAGGAGGGCCGGGCCCTCGGAGAGAGGAGGAGGAGGAGTGAGGAGGAGGAGGAGGAGGGGGAGGAGGAGAGGAGGGGAGGAGGAGGAGGAGAAAAGGAAGGAGAAAAGGAGGAGAAAAGGAGGAGGAGGAGGAGGAGGAGGAGGAGAGGAGGAGGAGGAGGAGGAGGAAAAAAGGAGGAGGGCCGGGCCCTCCGGCCCGAGTGGAGGAGGAGGAGGAGGAGGAGGAGGAGGAGGAGGTGGAGGAGAAAAAAGAGGAAGAGAAGGATGGCGGCGCCGACGACGAGCCCATCCGGCCCCCCGAAGGGGGGGGTCGCGGGGCGCTCTTCCGGGCGCGTCATTGGCCCGTTCTCTGCCCGTCGGCCCGCGACCCCGGCCCTCCTCCTTTTCTCCTCCTCCTCCTCCTCCTCCTCCTCCTCCTCCTCCTCCTCCTCCACTCGTGGGCCCTCCCTCCAGGGTTTCCTGGGTTTCGATGGGCTTGCCGTGGAAAGCGTGACGTTCCCACGCCAAAAACCCACGGACGTCCTGGGGTCTCAGGGTCGGATTTCTTGTGGAAGGTCTCTCGTGGTCGGGCCCCTCCGTTCTGTGGGGTCGAAGGATCTCTCCGCATCGGCGATGTATCGGCGATGTGGCTCGAGATGGAGTCCGATTTTCTCCACGCCGACGTCGCCGATGCATCGCCGACGAGCCGATGTATTGGCGATGCAGCGCGGTCCTCCGACCCCATCCGCTCGGATCCCAGCTAGGAGGCCTCTACCATCCCGAGCCGGGGGCCCGTGGACGGCCCCCCGAGGCCGAGAACGTCGCAAAACCTCCGTTCTGAGTTCTGCTACGACCCAGGCGCTCGCAGGCAATTTTTCTCCCCCACTTCCGACTTCGACGAAACATGAAGCCGCTTAAAAACGGAGGGAAGGAACCCTGGGCTTACCCCGAGGGGACATTCGGACGGACGCACCCTCATCGAGGATGGACGCCTCCCATCGTATATCCCAGGGTTGGGCCCTAAAGAGAGAGTATATTTTTTTGGGGGGGGTATACCCTCTGGGCCATAACGCGCGTTACGCCCCCCCCCATAACGTAACGTTCCCCCTCCTCAGTGCGTCCCCAGCACTGCCGCAGTGCGTCCGGCATTGCAGCTTGGAGGTCTTGGGGGGGGGGGGGGGCGCTACGTGATGCCCCTTCCCGTCCCCCCCCCTTCCCCTCCCCCCCATAACGCCCGTGATGGCCGCGCATGAACACATTCGTTCGAATCTCTGGTCCACTCGAAAACCTCCCAGAGCCCGGGATAGGGGTCGACGCATCCCCTGCTCAGCGCGTCTGGGGAGACCAGCGGGGGTGGGGGGGCATGCAGGAGTTGTGTTGGGTTGCTCGGGCGCCGTTGTGACGCAAACTGAAAACGTCATGCTCCGGCGATTTGGTAATCTTCAAGACACATTGAGATCCAAATGATATTGTTGAGTTGTGTTTTTGTCGTTTTCCTGAACGTTCCCCTCGCGCTGTGTCTTGGGTGGCCGACGCGGCCCTCGGCCGGGACCGCCCTGGCGAGCCCCCCGGAGGACGCGCCGCTCTGGCCCCCGCGGCGTTCGCGGGGCCGGCCTCCCCGCCCTTCTCGCCGCGCGGGGTGCAGCTGCGAGCCGCGGGCGGCGGCGGCGACGGCCACCACCGCGGGCTTCCGGGGAGGAGCCCCAGACATGCTCGCGCCGCCGCGGGGAGCAGGGCGGGGTCTGGCGCCCTCGGAGGGGGGGGGCCCTCGCCTGGCCTGGAAGGGGCCGCCCCGGGCACGGCCCGGGCGGGAGAGCCGGCGGCCACCCGGGAATGGGGGGGGGCCGGGCTTTTGTTAGGGCAGGGGCCGCGCCTCGAGTAAAGGCAGGGGGGCATCGCGTGGGCATGTCTGGGGCCGGGGCCACGCCCACCGAGCACGCCTCGGGCCTCGGAGGGGGGGGGGGGTGGGGGGGTCGCTTTCAGCCCCAGGTGGAGAATGGATTGGATATACAGGGGGAGGAAGAGGAGGTGGGGGAAGCGATGGGTGGGAGGGGGGGCGGGAGGGCGGGTGCGGGGGGGGAGAGGAGCGGACCAGAGCCGGAAAGAGAGCGGTTCCTTCTCAAGCTCTTTGAGGGCCGAACACGCCCGGCGTAGCCATCCAGTCTGGAGCTGCGGTTCGACCCCTCAGACTGGAAGGACAGGGGGAGGAGGGGGAGGAGGGGGTGGAGGAGGAGGGGAGGAGGAGGAGGAGGAGGAGGGGAGGAGGGGGGGAGGAGGAGGAGGGGGAGGAGGAGGAGGAGAGGATGTGGAGAGGAGGAGGAGGAGGGGAAGGGGAGGAGGAGGAGGAGGAGGAGGAGGTGAGGAGGAGAGGAGGAGGAGGAGGGAGGGGAGCTGCGGGTCGACCCCTCATGCCACCCCCCCCCCCCCCCCCCCCGATGGGTGCCCAGTGGCGGTGGCCCCTGCTCTCCCTTGGTGGGAGCCGGCGGCGCACACGCGGGGGGGAGCGGCGCGCGAGTGAAGCGGTGCCCTGGCGATGTCGTGGGCCGGTTTCGTTTTGATATCGCTTCGTGGCCAAGGCAGGGCGAAGGCAGAGCAAGGGAGTTTAGGCCTCCCTGCAGATGGGATCGGAGCAGAGGGGATCGGAGGATCGCGCCGCATCGCCGATGCGGCTCGATGTGCAGCCCGATTTGCTTCACGCGGATGTCGTGGATGCGTCGTCGATGCGGCGCGATCCTCCGACTCCATCTACTCGGACCCCAGCTAGGAGGCCTATAGGCAGGACGAGGACAGAACGACGGAGGCACGAGAGCAAAGCGAAGAACGGAAGCACGCTGTTTCGCTCGAGCCCTGGCTCTGTGAAGGGTGGGTGTCTGCTCACATCAGGCAGGGGGGCTTTCCTGGGAGCCCATCCCGGCTTCCGAGAAGCCTGCTTCGAAGGCCCCACGGGGCCCCGCTGGGAGGCTCCCGGCTTCCTGTTGGAGACCCCACCCCCCGCTCAGAAGCCCACCCTCTTGCGCCTTCCCCGCGTGCGCTACCGCAGGACGAAGACAGAGGAGTCTTGAGGGTTTTCGGTCTCCTCACACCCTGCCTCCCTCCCTCCCTTCCTCCTACTCCTCCTCCTCCTTCTCCTCCTCCTCCTCCTCCTCCTCCTCCTCGTCCTCGTCCTCGTCCTCCTCCTCCTCCCTCCTGCTCGTCCCTCCTCCCTCCTTCTCCTTCTCCTCCTCCTCCTCCTCCTCCTCCTCGTCCTCTTTCTCTTCCTCCTACTCCTCCTCTTCCTCCTCCCTCCCCTCCTCTCCCCTCCTCCTTCCTCCTCCTCCTCCTCCTCCTCCTCCGCCTCCTCCTCCTCCTCCCTCCTCCTCCCTCCTACCTCCTCCTCCCCTCCCTCCTCCCTCTCCTCCTCCTCCTCCTCCTCCTCCTCCTCCTCCTCCTCCTCCTCCTCCTCCTCCTCCTCCCTCCCGGGCTCCTCGTTCCTCCTCGGCCTTCGGCGGCCCTCCTCGTCGCTGCGGCTGGGCGCTGCTTGAGCAACCGCCCAGGATGGACCCCGCTGATGTCTTGCGATGATGAGAACTGTCGGATCTAGCCAGGACCCCTCCTCCTCTTCTTCCTCCTCCTCCTCCTCTTCTTCCTCCTCCTCCTCCTCCCCTCCTCCTCCCTCCTCCCTCCTCCCTCCTCCTCCTCCTCCTCCTCCTCCTCCTCCTCCTCCTCCTCCTCCTCCTCCTCCTCCAGCCTCCCAACATCCCTCCTCCGCCTCCTCCTCGTCCCCTCCTCTGCCTCCCCTGCCTCCTCCTCCCTGGGGCAGGGCCCTGGAGCCCCCCAGATTGGCCAGAGTCACCAGCAAGCAGGTCTGCCGTGGCTGGTGTTCTTCTTCGGGTGGCGGCAGTTCCGGTCAGTGGAACGGGGCGGGGGAGGGGGGCGTCCCCTCGCACAGCATCACGAGCTCACGCCCCACGAAGCCCGGTCCTGCCAGCGCCCGAAGCACGGGCCCCGGAGAAGGGGGGCCCCGGGTCCCGTGGCCGCCCCTTCGGCCTCCGAGGGCGGGCCCTTGGCGGGCCCCCAGGGCCATCGAGCGACGACTCGGGAGGGGCAGCCGGTCTCGGGGAGAAGCACGGGATCCACCGGCCGTTGCCCTCAGCATGTGTGTTTCCTCGTGCCCAGGCAAGAAGGTCGACGTCGCGACGTTCGCGATGGGCTGATTCTGGGGGCCTCAGAAGCAATTTGATGCAGTGGAAGGGGTCGTCGCAACATCCGTGGGCTACACGGGCGGCGAGAACGCGAAGCCCTCGTACGAGAGCGTCTGCGGAGGGGACGGGCACACCGAGGCCATCCGCATCGAGTACGACCCCGACAAGATCAGCTACGACCAGCTCCTCGATGAGTTCTACAGGGGCCATACCCCAATGGGCGGGAAGCAGCAGTACATGTCGGCTGTGTGGTACCACAACGAGGAGCAGAAACAGGCTCTGGAGACGCGCATCAACGCGGGCAGTCCTCTAGTCCACCTCGAGCCCGCAAAGCCCTGGCACGATGCCGAGGAGTACCACCAGAAGTACTACATCAAGAAAGGCTGCACGGTACAGTAAGGCCGCTCTCCACCCCCTTCTCTTCTGCCTCTTCCCTTCTCTCCTTTGTTCCCAGCACTCCTGTGCGGTGTTCTCGTTGTGAGTTAAAGCGCTGCTGCCTTCTCCTCCTTCTCCTCCTTCTCCTCCCACCTCCTGCCTCTGGCCTCCTGCTTCTTGCCTGCCTCTTGGATGCATCGTACCTCGCCTTCCCTGAGGGCTGCCAACTGCACATGTGTCGTCGCTTTCGTGAGCCTCTGGGAGGTCCAGTGGAGTGGCGTCCGGTGCAGATTCAAACCAGACCTGGCCCTCCGTAGCGGGCTGCCACCTGCGCAACTGTCGTCACTCTCGTGATCCCTTTGAGGTCCAACGGAGTGGCGTCCCATGTAGATCCAGACCAGACCTGGCCCTCCGTAGGGTCTGCCACCTGCGCAACTGTCGCAATCCTCGTACGCGAGACCCTGGGAGGTCCAGACGGAGTGACGTCCGTGGCAGATCCAAACGGGACCTCGCCTTCCCCGGGTGCTGCCGCCTGCGCAACCGGTGCCACTTTTCGTGAGTCCCTGGAAGGTCCACGGTAGCGGTGCCGCAATCGGACCCTAACTAGGCCTCGTCCTCCTTGGGGCTGCCAGCTGAGGGGAGGAAGGGAGGGAGGGAGGGAGGGAGGGGGGAGGAGGAGGGAAAGGGGGGGGGAGGAGGAGGAGGAGGAGGAGGAGGACGAGGAGGAGGAGGAGGAGGAGGAGGAGGAGGAGGAGGAGGGAAGGGGAGGGAGGAGAGGGGAAGAGGAGGAGAGGGGAGGAGGGAGGAGGCCCTGCAGACTGTTGTCCGTCGCGATATCGAGAAGCGAGACCTCGCCTTCTCCAGGGGATGCCACCTGCGCGACGGTCGCCACGTCCGCGAGCTCCTGGGAGGTCCGGCTGGACACCCTCCTTTCTGGATGCGACACACCACCACCGATGCACGACGACCCCAACAACAAGGACTCCTCCCGCTCCTCCTCCCCCCCTTCCGCTGCACGGAACTTTTTCTTAGGTGTCGTGTGCATGCCTCACCATGCACAATCGTATCCTTGAGGCCACGGCCTCACTCACCTGGTCTCCAGCAGGCCCGCACGGCTCTCCGCACTGACGGTCGCTCGTTCGTTCGTTCCTCCTTGCTCTGGAGGCTGCCACCTGCGCAACCGTCGCCCCCTTGCGGAGCTTCTCGGAGGTCCAGCGGAGCAGCGTCCGTGGCAAGTCCAAACCAGACCTCGCCTTCCTTGGGGGGCTGCCAGCTGCGCGACAGTCGCCACGCTCGCGGGCGCTGGGAGGTTCCAGCGACGCGGTGCCTGTTGCAGATCGAGGCTGGACCTTGCCTTCGCTGAGAGCTGCCACCTGCGCAACCGTCCCCACTTTCTTGAGCTCCTGCGAGGTCAAGCGGGGTGCGGGGGCTACGGGGCCATAACAGGACCCCACCTCCCTAGGGGCTGCTGGCCGTACAATTGCCGCCTCTTTCGTGAGCTCGTGGGATGTGAAGCGAGGTGCGGGGCTAAAGGGACTAGAACTAGAACTCGCCCTCTCCTGGGGCTGCTCAAGTGTGCAGCTACCGCCACTCTCGTGGGCACCTGGGAGGGCGGAGTGCAGCCCTGAAAAGGACCACGCTCGCTTGCCTGGGGACTGCCACCTGCAAAAAGCTTCTGCCACTTCCGCAGGCACCTGGGAGGTCCATCGGAACGGGGGGAGAAAGGGACCATAACCAGACCTCGCCTCCCGGGGAGTGACCAACTCTGTCGCCACTTTCGCGGGCTCCTGGGAGGTCAAGCGGAGCGCGGTCTGATCCACATCAACAGCATGACTTCCCTCCCCGGGTACTGCCGTCCCGCAGTTTGCGCCGCTGCCGTAAGCCTGTGGGGCGGCCAGCGGAAAATGACACCCAGGGGCCCGAACGGGATCCCGCCCTCCCTAGTTTCCAACCGCGCAGTCTCATTCCTTCTCTTGGCCATCTTCGCCATTCCGCCCGTTTCGGAAGGGTGGTGTACCCGTTGTATTGTCGTTCATGCGTTATCCTCATCCTCCTCCTCCATCTCCTTCTCTCTTGCTCTCTTCCTTTCTCCAGATCACAGGTGCCGCTCTGTGCTTCCTTCGCAGCGTAGGCCCCTTCCCCTGGATCCGCTTTACATCCCGGGTCAATTCGCGCGACGGCCCCGGTTGCCATTGCCCAGAGGGCCCGCAGATTGCCAGATGTTGGCCGTGCTCCCTCTGCCACGGCGCGCGGGGTGGTGGTGCCCGGGCCACCACGACTCGGGCCCGCTGCGGCCGAGCAGGACGACTCGTGGCGAGGCGCAGCCGCTGGGGAGCAGCACGGGGCGAGAGCACGCACGGGGCCCGACGGAGACGGCCGCCGAGGCGGCGCGCCAGTGCGCTCGGAGGGGACGTGGGAAGAGCAGCTGCCGTGACCTGGCAGGCCCAGGCTGCGGACGGGCTGCTCCAGAGGCCCAGGCCTCCCAGAGGATGGGGTCCCAGCTGTGGGCGGCGAGCGAGGGGGATTGAAGTGAGAAAAGGAGGGGGCTGCCGTTGCAGAAGGCGGCCGGGCTCCTCGGAAGCCCTCTGGCCTTCTGATAGGCTTCTGCGTCTTCGGGGACTGCTCAGAGGACTCCGGGCCTCTTGAGAAGGCCCGCCCCCTCTCACTTCCCCTCCGGGCTCGCCGTGGAAGCTGATGAGGTCGAAGGCCCCGCGCCGCATCACCAATGCAAAGCGGCTCGATGTGAAGCCCAGATTTCTCCTCCTCGCCGACGTCGCCAATGCATCGCCGAGGCATGGACGACGCTTCGGCGATGCGGCGCGCCCCTTCGACCGCATCTGCTCGGGTCCCATGTTGTACGTGTCCGAGAGCGTTCCAGAACGCTCTCAGAGCACTCCCGAGTTGAACTGCCCCGATTGGCCCGTTTTGAAATGCAACACGTGCCGTGTTCAAAACGTCCGTGTTAACACGCAGCGTGTTGGCTCGGCACGTGTTGGCTCACGTTTTGGCGACAGTGCCGCGCCAGACGCACGTCTTCAGTCTGCGTGAGCTCCGTGCCAACATGCTACGGGCTGCGTGTTGCGTATCGGGGCGGCTAAGTTCCCGAGCGCTCTGGAACGGCCGCATCGCCGATGCATCCTCTAGGCCCGTCAGCGCTCAGATATTCCCGACTTGTTCTCGTCCAGGTGGGTCCTCATCCTGCCTTCGTCTTGAAGAGGGCACCATGAATGAGAGGGCTCCTGAGGGGAACGGGCTCCCGAGGCTCTCGGTGCTTTGGACTTCGAGGGGCCCTCCTCGTCGCCGCATCTGGATGCAGCTTGAACAACTTGCTGGGGTGGTCCGCTCCCGATGTTGCGCAGATATCGATGTCTCGCAATGGGGAATCATGGCTTTCAGGGAGCGGTTTCTGGAGGTGTCGCCTGTTTTCGGCCTGCACGGGGCCCTCTCCACAGGCCCAGGCCTTGTCATCCAGGGCACGGACACGTTTCCTTCATGGCCCCTGTCCTTGTGGCCCGAAGAAGATGCCCCATGCCACCTCTTCCGCCCTGGCAGTCGCTCTCTCAAGTGGTTCGAGCCCTGGCCAGTGTGCCACACCTGTTCCGTGTCGTGCCCAGCCTCGGTTCGCTGTTCCAGCCCTGGCCAGCTAGCCTCCACGTTCCAGTCTCCTCCACCGGGCCTTTCAGTAGGTGCTCTAACTTCTACTGCGCAGTCTTGTAGATTTCAGGACTTTCCCGAAGCAGGGCTCCTTGAGGATGCCAGCCTGTGACTTCCTCACCGAAATCTGCTCCATACAGCCTGTGACTTCCTCACCGAGATGTGCTCCATATGTAGATGCAGTGCACGCCAGTGAAACCACATGTAAGGCAACGCACAGCAGTCCACGAGGGCAAAACAAAGTAAAGCAGAGAAACGCATTGCAATGCAAAGCAAAGCGCAGCGATGCGAGACCAATCAGCAGAACTCGAATCAGGACTACGAATCCAGCGCAATGCAATCCAACGCAATTTGTTACAATGCTGCGGCACAGTGCAACTCATTCAAGCAGGACAAACCCACAGCGATTCAACGCGAATCACACATGATCAAGTCGAACCAAACCTACCAATGCAAGACAACGGTCTGTTCGATGCTTCTGCACCAAGCAGGTCACTTCAACCAACGTAACGCGGAGTTTGGCATACCTTCAACTTCAATGTGTCTCCAGTCTTGCGCCAGCCTTATCGCGCCAGGCTCAGCATGTCTTCGGGCCTCGCTGCCTAAGCTCCAGCTCGTGCGCCTGTCTGATTCCTGCCTTCCGAGGAGGGGATTTATCCATAAACCGCCGCCTGGGGGATCGATCTTCGCAGACTTCGACAGGCGGTCTCCCTCTCTTTCTGTCTACGTTTGTATATATATATATATATATGCAAGACTGTACTGGCACTTCGCGCCATGCGCCTTGTTCAGGACGCTTCCCTGGCAAAACAGTAGATCATCGCTTGTTTTAGCAGGGGCTCCTCGAGGCCTGGACAGGCGATCGGCTCATTTTTCTGATATCCCTGGTGCCTGCTAACATCGCATTCGCCCGATGCGCTTGCACGCTTGTGCGCAGCAGTGGGGAAGGAATGACGATTCTTCACGCGCGAAGGTATTGGCAAACGACGATGCGTCAAACTGTTGCGATGGCACCTGTCCATGAACGGGGGACGGGAAGGGGGTAGGGATGAGGAGGTGGGCTGAATAGGCGGAAGGGGGGAGGAGGGGGGGAGAAACGGGGAGAAGGTCCAGAGGAAGGAGCGGGCGAATGTGGATGGCCATCGGATGCTACGAACTTTGAGGTCGACGAAGAAGGCAGAGGGGGGAAGGGAGAGAGAGAGAGAGAGAGAGGAAAAAAATGAAAGAGAGAGAGAGTGTGTGTGTGTGTGATAAGGGGTATTGGAAAGACAGGCGGGCTTGCGTGAGCGCAACGAGCGCACGGATAACGCCGTTTGGGGGCGTTTTGGGGCTGTTTTGGGCCGTCCTGGGGCTCTCTTGGGCCTTTCTGGTGCCCTTTTGGGCCGTCTTGGGGCGCTGGGGCCTTCCAGAAGTCTTTGGAAGTTATCTAGGGCCCTCCTGGGGGCCTCCAGTGGCCTTCTTGGGGGTCTTCCATGGCTTTCGTGGGTCTCTCTTAGGAGCCTTCTGGGGGCATCTTGGGCTTGTTGTGGGTAGTTTCGGGGCTCTTTGGGGCAGCCTTGGCGCCCTCTTAGGCCGTCTTCAAGCCCTCTAAGGGACCTCTTGGGCCGTCTTGGGGCGATATCGGAGGCCCATCGGGCCGTCTTGGACGCTGCGAAGACCCAAAAAGCGGATATACTAGAAATATAATTTCCCATTTGACGAATTTTGCTTTTTCGGGGCTCTCTTAACGGCCTCTTGGGGCGTCTTGGGGGCCTCGTGGACCGTCTTCGGGCCATCAAGGTTCCTCTTGGAGCGCTCTTGTGCTGTCTTGGGTCTCTCTTGCGCGTCTCCGATGACCTTGAGTCTGCTCGCAAGACCAGGCCAAGCGCCGTGGGATGCCCAGAAGGTCCAGCGGACCTTTTCCAAGGGCGTCCGGGGGGCCGCCGAGACGTCCGAAAGGGCGTCCAGGGCGTCCCTGAGGGGGTGGGTCCTGTTCAGGGGAGGGGTGGGGTTGGGGTGTGAGGGGGCCAGGTCATAGATATATAGGGATAGGAGTCTATGTATAGATTCAGCCATTCGCTGCCCGCTGGGGTCCCAGGACGTCGGTTCTCCGGCGGTGGATCGATGTCTCCCAACATACTAAGACTGTGTGTGCGTCGCCCCCCCAGGGGCGACGCGCGCACCGAGACATTTCGTAGTATATGCGTCGTGGCGGGCGCTTTCTGGCCACACCGCTCGGATAATGCTATACTACAACATGGGTATATTGTATGTTCGGTTCGGACGCGCGCCTCCAAGGAGGACATCGAGTACTAGTATGTCTTTGTGCGTCCCAGTGTACATGAATACATCCCCGCCTCGCATGCCTGGCCGCGCCAGGTGCATCTCCAGGCGGAGCATCCCATGCCACTTCCTCCAGCTTCCCTACCACGACACGTAGTGCCACGGCCCAGCGCCAAGGTCTGCGAGCTGCCGAGATGAAGCGCCACGCTGGATGGGGCAGACGTCCCCACGGTGAGGCGCCGACGGCGCAGTTCCGCTCCAGGCCCGCGGAGCTGGCTCGGGCCTGCCAAGAAGGGGGGTCAGTACAGTCGGCGCCACACAAACGCATTAAACGAGACACATCTTGCAGTATAAGTTCCGTGGCGGTCGCTTTCTGGCCACGTGGCTCGGGAAACAATTTACTACAAGATGGCAGTACAATATGTTCGGGCCGCCCGAGTGCCTTCGATGAGGACACATAGTACTAGTATATTCTTGCGCGTCCTAAGAAGGGGGTTGAGTTATTTCGACTCCACCGAATCAATTCGATTCGATTGTGATCATTACGAACGATTCCGATTCCGATTCGATTCGACCTCGGGTTCCGATGTAACTCCGACGTAAATCCGATGTAACCGACGTAACTCCGACGTAATCCGATCCCAGTCCGACGTAAATCCGACGTATTTTCGACGTAGTCCCACGTGAACCCGACGTGAATCCGATGTGCATCCGACGTGCATCGGGTCTCAAGTTGCCGCGCGGGGTCTCCAGGATTTTCTTGACAACCGGGCCAGCGCGAGGGCGCGAAAATATACACACGAGCGCGCCTCGTGCGGGGCGAAGCGCGACCTTTGGAGAGGCCCACGGATGAGGGGACGGAGGCTTGGGAACCACGGGGGGGGGAAGGGGGGGCGAGGGGACGGGCAGCTCCCGCCCCCAGAGCTCAGACCTGCCCCTCCTCCGAGGCGTGGGGCGGAAGGGCGGCGGCGCCGGCCGCAGAAGGGAGG